CAGCAGGAAAACATCAATGATCCCACTCTCTGACATCCAGCGTACATCAGTTTGAGGCAGTACCCTCTGCTTAGCAGTCTCTGCAGTGGATCTGGAGGGCACGTGCTTTGAAGGGAACCAAATTAAAGCTGAATCTCTTTATCAAATGTTTGTTCAATGAAGATACAGAGCAAAGAGGTAAACTCAGAAAATTCTGTCACTAACACATATCATGCTGAAAGTTTATTATATATCCTTCACAAATCCTTTATCTTGCATAATGCATATACCAAATATAGATTTATAGTTAATAAGAAAAAATGGATAATGAGGAGCACAGTAATTAGAAACTTTTCTGTAACCTGTTTAAAAACTATGCATTGTCTGCCTGAGCTTTAAAATCATTCAGGAGTAATAAAGAAAATGAATAATTTTAACCATATAATTGAGTATTAAAATAAAGCAGTATTTTTTTCACTATTTCATTTTTAGCAGGACTTCAGGAGGTGAGCTCATCTCCTAAATTCTTTATATGTTTCCTGAAAGTCAATTGCATTCCACAGAAAAATGAGCCTGCTGAGGAGACATGAGTGGCGATGCCAAGAATTTAAAAATTCAAAAAAATTCCTCAAACCAAAAGATAATCAAGATTTTTCTTAGTCTTTTTTTCTGCCTGCTACATCCACTCGTGCAGACTTTTCTGCTCCAGCGTCGCATTTTCCTCTCTGCCTTCTCTTGTATACCTGTTAGGATACAGAACCTATAACTTGCCATTTGAAAGACTTCACCTTGTTCTTTTCTGAGGTGTAATAAAATAAACGCAGCAGTAATGAAGAAGACATTGACAATTCTTTATTGGAAGGAAAAAAATTTATCTCAAATGATGCTGTCATGCTCCTGCTGGCCCTGCCCTGCAGTGCTTTCTTTCACTATTAAATTCTAAGGGCTGTGGGCAACTCTCACCTCAGCTACTGCCTTTGTGCTAATATCCACCAGCGTTTCTGAAGAGTTCAGCCAGAAGATCCCAGAAGTTCTGTTAGGCTTGTGGGCTAAGAGAAAGGGCACTGAACCATAAATGCCTATTTTGTCATGTATCTTATGGCCAAATATATCCAAATTATAAAGTCGGTAGGCATCACCATCACTGGAACAGACAGACAGATGTGTTATATTTAAGCATCCTGCACTTGGCCAATTTTAGCTTTAGTTCCGCCAAACTCAGTTCTGTACTGTGGTCTAATACGTTCTGTATTGTGGTCTATTGTTTAGCACCCAGAGTTGAAATGGAGGCAACCTAGATTACTGCTTCTTTGCTTTGGTCCTACCTGACTAAATCAAACAACGTTTTTGCTGTCAGTGAGACTACTGCTCATTTGCTCTAGGCCCTAACTTATGAATTCTGAACTTTTCCATCCCCTTGAAATATAGGAAGTCCTAATAGGACTGCTCTTTCAAGAGTTTCAATAACATACGTTCTGTTTAAATGCAACTAATTCTGCAATTCTGAAAAAAATGACATGGAAAATTGAGAGAGAACAGAAAGGTTCCTTCATGAAACTACAGAGTGGGAAGCAGATCAGTTCAGTCCACAGGGATAGGGCCTATGACTTAACATGACACTGTCTTTGAACTAAAATACACATTATATATGATAAACATATCAAGCTGTTGTTCGCATTACATTCTTCAGACAGCGTTATAGCTCTTTGCAAATGCAGTAATACCTTTATTAGCAGTCTGCCACTTCTTTACCTGGTGTTTTTGAGAAGGAGTGTTTCTGTATGTTGTGGTATTCCATAAACATGCTCAAATCCATGTAAAGAGAAGTCCATGCCTACAGAACTAGGGCCTATAGAAATAAGAAAAGACAAACTGAATTAAAAGACAAGAGCATAGAGTTTCATTCTCAGGCTTAGAGGAAAGCAACAGAGCAGAACAACCTAACTGTAATGAAAAACAATAATAATTTAACAAGTTTTAGTAAGTAGCTGCTTCACACTTCCTTTCAAGTTCACATTCATTCTTACTTATGCACTGAACTCCTTATCTGCTTAAGAAGATAAAATGAATACGTTTAATAGCAAAAACACATATAGTAGTGGGTCATTTTTTATGCAGTAAAATTGCTTAAAATCATCTCCTGTCTCTATCCCACTACCTGTAAGCCAAGTTGAGCTGCACAGTGGTACAGCAGGATGGATTTTAAGAGTTAGTCACCTGTTTTCTAAAACTCCTCCCTTCAGCCTCAGCCAGCAGAGTAACATGCACAAGTGCCTCTGCCATCTTGTCATATTACTGAATCCAAAGCGATTTCTGGCAGGTGAACAGAGATCCTCCAGACTGACCAGCACTGGCTGTAGGATCAGAACTTGACCAAACAGACTTTATTCCCCCAAAAGAGAGAAGGCAGTGAATCCATGATGCTAGCCTAACACATCAGATGCAGCATGAACAACAACAACGACAGCTTCCTCCACCTGTGTGTCTTGACTTTAAACTGAAGAAGCCCCCACCATCAAAAGGAAGCTCTTTCAGACTTTGCTGTGTCTACTGCAGCTGCCAGGCAGCGCTGGTTGCTATAAAAGGTTGTATGACAGAGGTAATAGATGGAGTTAACCAACTCAACTCATGCAGAACGCAACCAGACAGACAGCAGATGGTAATGATTTTTGGTCTTTAACAATTTAAACTGTATTTGAGCTGTTGACCTACAGGTTTCTCTACCACTTAAGCCTTCTCACTATTTCCTTTTGTAATCCCCTACTTAAAAAGCATTTCTCTGAAATAATTATTAATGCTTAGATATCATGATTTCTGATGTGTCTCGAGAATAAGCTACAGAAGAAATCAATGTTATGTGCTGATAGTAAAAACGAATGAGTTATATACCATTCAGCCAGATAGAGTTATGCAGTGTCAAGAATGGGACACATTCCTCTCCGATGAAACGGGTCACATTTAACGTGTTCCCTCCTGAACAGAAACCTAACAGGTATTTCCAATGCCTTATATCAAATTTATTACCAATACGTGATAACTTATAGGCAAGTTAAGAGAAAGACAGAGAGAGGTATTGGTAAACATTAAGTAGCTAAACAGAAAACGGGCAGAAACATGAATGAATAAGGGTATACACAAAACACTAAAGCTGTTTTCAGAATGAGATCGAGACTTACCGTGGGCTTTGATGTCTAAAAAACTGCCAAATTTCTCTTGCCAGAGACCTAGATCCTCTTGTTTCTCCTACAAAAACAGAAATACATAAGCCTAGGAAATACAACTGCTCAGGCCATATATTTCTAAGAAAAATACCTTTACTCACATGAGATTTATACACGATTAAGTGATTATTTGCTAAATACGGCTAGTATCTATGAATCCAAAATGCAATTCAGGTTCTGTTGCAGGAATGTTACACTGAAGAACTGACATGTGAGCGGAGGACAAGTGCACTCTGCTGCAGCAGAAAACAGCAGAAAAGTAATAACTGAGTTCTTGAACTGTGAGTGCACTTATGAAATTCAATGTGATTTATGAATGGAGATGATGGAACCACACAGAGAAATCTGCACAAAGAGAAACCAGCCACCTTCCTCCCCAAACAGTAAGTCAGACAACAAATAAGCTTTGCAGACTCTCCAGAGTGCTGTTTGCATAACTGACACTTTTAGCCTTCCTCAAACGTTAAGCCTTGTGCCCTGCTATTCATTATCCTTAAATTTCAACTTTTTGCAGTGCCTTTCCTACTTTTCTAGATTTATCCCAGAGTAAGTGGACACGGCCTGGCCAGCAGCATGACTGGTCCAGAGCAAGCATACTCTCTGTGGCAGAACCTGGAGTTCAAATACAAGTATGCTGCAGGCAGTGTAGCTCCTGCCATTTATAACAACATGGCAGAGTAACAGCCATCTGCTCAACAGGCGGCTAAAATTACATCATGGGCATAACTCAGCCCACTGAAAAAAAATGGCACACGCCTTTATGCACTGTCAGGATCAAGTCTGTTTTCACAGAGAATCTTAGAATAGTAGTAAGCATGGACATATGTGGAAACATATCTTTGGACTGGTTATAAAATAGTTCTCTTTCCTTTGAAATCATCTTTGCAAGGAAAAGGGAATTTGAAAATGAGTATCACCATGAAGCTCCCTGTTAGGCATCTACTCCAAATTAAAGAACAGAGATCAAGAACAAAAGATCTGGCTCTTATTTAGATTTTTTTTTTTTACCTGATAGATGCTTTCTACAGCCCTTGTAACACAAATAAGCTTTAATTCAATTACGAATTTGGTAAAATATCTCAGTCTGGAATACCAGGCCCTTTTTGAATGTCAATGAAAAATGATTAGACTAAGAAAAAGTTACATCAGCTCTACCTCATGCAAGAACACTTGATGTTGGACCCTCAGCCACATTCATCTCTCCTGTGAAAGAATGACCAGAAAGCCCACAGCACAGCTTGTAATAAGCTCCAACAAAAAAAGAAAAAGATCATTGCGTTTTGGGGTCAAGATAAACACGAAGTCACTGCTATCTGCTGCATTTTAGGTGTGGCTGGCCCTCAGTTTGGCTATTTGGAAGTACGCTACCAGAAGAAATCATGAACAGGTGATCCTAATCAATCAAATTTCTTTTCTATAACATATTCATGCCAGAATCACAGAGTAAGCATAGGTTACCTTAGAGGAGTCACTTGCTGCCTCCTCCTTGTTTTCTGCTGTAGTTTTGCTAGTAAAAACAAATATATACAAATAATAATTTTATTGACAATGTAAGGGAGGATTTCAAATAGAAAATTCCCAAAGCATTATGCATTGCCTTATACATTATATACCAGTTCTGGTAATGGACTATTTTGAAAACTAGTATCTAGTTGAGAGCTCTAATTAACAAATCTTAATAATCAAATTTTAATAGTTAATGTCTTAAAAAGATTTTCATTCTATATTTGACTCCTTGGGCTTTCACGCTTTTTTGTGTCAGTATTTAATCCACCAGAAGATCCTCAGGTCACTTTTGTTCTCCTCTGTAAAGAGCACTCTTAGTTACAATTTTTGAAGCAATTTTCTTGAGGAGAAAGCTGCCTGCTATGCTGTTTTCCTAGCCATGATAAATGCCCTGCACTGTGGTTTCTCAGCCTTCCAATCCCATGCACTGGGATTTGCCTTTAAACTGTTGCAACTATGAGACACATTATAAAGCGAACAAAACTTCCCTAAGGAGCAAATTTAGTCATAAATGAAGAGGAGACAAAACTGAGAACCTCATTATATTACCATCATTGACTCCCAAGAAAGACGATGGAACATGAACACTGTAGTGTCCTACAGAATTGGCCCTTAAATGAGGTTAGCATGAGCATATGACTACTGTAAGATGTTCAAACAGCCTGCAATTAATGGATTTAGAATTTTTTTGTTAAAATGTCACTAGAGTACTTACTGGCATGAGGTAAAAGAGATGCCAGGTTTCAAGGTGTGAGGGCTTCCATCACAGAAATAGCAATTCCATAGAATTGCTTATCTTCAGCTACAGCACAACCAACACATATAGTGGGATACAAAAATACTGTACCTATCACTGGGAGGTGGTTGTAGGTGCTCAAAATATAACAACCCACTGGAATTCATGCTCAGCACAATCTCACCCTTGGACTGCAGCTCAATTTGGAAGGGGTTTGCAGTGACTTGAAGCTTGTACTCCTCATTAACACTTTTCAGCACCAAAATACCTGCCTCCTTACGGGATATAGAGAGTCTGCAAATGAAAAGCAACGACAGCTTTACACGAATCAGCAACACATGAAATCTACTGTAGCTAAATACGAAGTGGAAACAAAACATGGGTTGAGAATATCTGCATATATTACAAAAACGCAAGGCTCATGTTGAGGAAAAGACCCCCAATATACATGCTGTGTTCAGGCTCCATTGCACAATGCAACAGGTGGCTACAGAACTGCCTTAAACATTTTCCAAAGTTTGCATTCCTTTCACGTTAACAGGTAATGCCTTAGGTAAAATAATGCATCATAAGCAGTAGGCTATATTTGACTAGGACGAATAGCCGCAAGTTCCTGATATATATGAATAAACTTTCTCCTTTGCATTTGACATGAATTTTTGAAAACAAATTAATCAATTACATGCATTTTTATTTTCTCTCCCGGTAGCTTCTTGGTATTGTAGAGAGACGACAGTAGTTCAGCACAAATGAGAGGGAAGGGAAAACACCTTTGACAGTGAAGCTACATAAGGTACTGATATGCTAAGTCATCTCCCATCACTTACCTTTGGGTGGTAGGTTCCTTTATGAGAACATCAGAAACTTCGTACCTTGCTCTGAGAGGAGCTGCCTCATTAATTTTAAGCCTGAAAATATTGCCCTCTATTTCAAAAATTTCTACTTGTAGAAGAACCTGGGAACAAACAGATACACTGGCAATGATAAAAATACCAATTTATCTTTCAGCTCAAAGTCATCAGACACTTACTATCTGAAAAGAAAAGCATGCCAGCTTTCTTATTGAATACACTTTAGTATTGCAGAGTAACAATCGTCATCCATCCGAAGTTACGTCAGCTACCTCTACCTCTCTGCTTTGCAGAAACAACTCTTTTGAAGTAGACTCTAACTTCAGGTCTCTCTTGTCTAGCATTTTGCAGCTCTTCCCACAAGCAGCAAGGAAAACACTAATCGTGAAGCTTGGACAATTTTACTACTGTGCTGTCAATATAAGAGCAGGTTACCACTGAGATGTAGGTTTTTCGTCAAAACATCAGTGCTGTCTTCGCTAACATCCACAGTGGTGCTTACACTGATGAACTACATCAAAAAGAGACCTGAAGAAAATGCATAATAGTGCTCTACCCACCAAGATGTATAACTTGCTATTCTACAGTTTGGGGAACTGTGAAGTCCCTCTGGTCTAGCTCATAAAAAATGACCCTTTTTCTTCCACTGGGGATCTCTACTAGGGGATCCTGGTTTCTTCTTAATCTTTCCTCCTGTGAGACAGAGAATTGGCTGAAGAGTTTTGACGTGGTATCTTTTCCCTTCACCTGGAGGCCAATCAGTTCTGCTCTCTTCCAAGGGATGAAAGAACTGTAAGGCCAGGCAGGGAGTAGGCAAGAGAGAAGAAATTTACTTTAAGTTCGAAATCCTACTCCCTAGGAAATATTTTACATTATACTGCCTTTAAATAAACCGCCAAATGGTCTAGGGAGCCACAGAGTCTTCAGTCGTTCACCTCTTTCCCGAGTACCTTGAAGCCTAGACCAAAAACAGACTGCTTTTTCTGTGCTGATTGCAAGGTCAAGATCACCAAGAGAGACAGAAAATGAATTCATGCAGTCTCTCTCATGTGATGGTTAGAGCATGGAATGGGAGTGCTCTAGTTTCAAACTCCCATACTCTAAGCTAGGTTTAGGTTGTCCATTCCCTAGGTGAATGTGCAAGCTGCTACACTGTTAGATTAGAGAAACGGAAAACACTCCTCTTCCTAGCTGGCTTTTTAACTGTGAATCTATTCATGGATCAGAAAGACTTCTTTCTCCCAAAAAGCTGCTTTTGAGCAAACACAGGAATATGTAGGCATAGCTAGGAGGTGCTGAAAAGTAGGTGTTCTTATTCCATTAAGCAAATAGAATTTATTATTTTGGAATAGTGGAGGCAATTCTGAACTAAAAACATTTTTTTCAGAAAAAAATAGTTCTGTTCAGATTTTCACAGAGTCATTAAAGATTTTTTTAAGTTTATTAAAATATGTTGTCTCCTTGAATAGTCTCAAGTTTTCAGAAAAACAGTGACCAGAAAGGATATCTTTATGCTGATACTTTGCATCATGTCATAAATACCTAACACTGAAGGACATCAAGTATATTGGACCCGTTGATAATATTCACTGCTATTTCTGGAAACACTCTTATAATAGAGTGTTTACACAGGTGTAAATGCTTTCTTTTGAAGGTAAGATCTCACCTTATTCTCCTCATGAATAATTGAGAATTTGACATTGTCATCACTTAATACGACTGAATCCAACAATGCTCGATACGAGGATTTTCCAGGATGTAGGAGTTTCTGACGCCTGTCAAGACAAAAAAAATGTCTGATCTCCCTAATTGTTGTGGCTTAAATCACACACTGGGACACAGTACTAGGTTGGAAATGTTTACTTAATAATTTTTCCTCAAATTTTTTCAAGTACTAGTATTATCAGTGCTTCAAGAAAACGAGAAAGAGAGGACATATGATTCTGACCACACATACACGCATACACTTGGGTATGAATGAGATGTAAACCAGAGGAGTTTAGCCACCCATCACCACCCTATGCATTTTTTTTTTCTTAAACAGTAACAGGTTTAATTCAAGTGACCAGCTAAATACTAAGTTGTCCAGTCACGTTCTGCTCCTTTCCAGGACCCCAGAAATTCCAGCTGAATAAACCATTTTCACTTTCTTTCAGATGCTGCTGCCTAGTTTGCCGCACCCTCGTGAACAGCTTCTACATTCTGTAGCGATGAAGCAATTTGTGCTTGTAATTTGTAACCGCCTGGATATGCACTCCAGTATATTCCTTTTCAAGGGATACTCTCAAGCCAAAAAGGTGCTTTGCCTTGCCACACCTAGTGCTTGGGCTGTCAAAACGAAAGCAGGAACTGAAAAAGGAGAATGGCCAAAGACTGGATGGGCTGCTACAAGTTTTGACTGCAGCTTAAGTCCTGATGATGTTTTTAAGGACAGAGTCCCCGAAATAAAGGCTTTCTCAGCTGTTTAGAGAATGCTTTTTGCTGAGCCAAGGTTTTATGAACTATTTGAATGTGGCTCTCTGAGGCTACCTTAAAGGGAAGCTTCTTTATTGGTAAATGACTTTGTTTCCTTGGAAACCTATATTGCACAACTGTGGGCAGTCAGATAAAGGTTTTTTTTTTTTTTTAAGCCTCGCAAGACAGGATCTGATGCTTGCCAACATGTGGAAAGCTCCTGTTGAGAAATTAGATTTGTTATGTTAAAATGATGATAGGCTAGAGACGGATGGTGTAAAAAGAGGAAGGGAGTCCTGCTCCCACTGGCAAAATGGTACTTTGGGCTTTTGAATGTAATTTTCTGTAGAACAAATGCAAATGACTGAAACTGTAACCTAGTATGTCAGCAGCTAATTGGTATACCACGGGGCAATCGTTCCTTTTACCTGGGAAACACAGAAGACAATGGAGGATGGAAGGAAAAAAGCAGGGGGAGATGTACCTCAGTTAGAAATGGAATGAGAAGGGAGCATTTAGCTTAACTTTAACAGAGTAATGAGTTTAGGTTTGATACCGAATTCTGGACAACATAGTTGCTCAACCATAGTGAGCAGCAGCTGCTTAAAAGCTATTTAAGCTATTGTCACAAAACTTTGAGATCAAAAGACAGAAATTTTGAAGACTATTTCTCTTGAGAGTTCTATCATTTTGAATTTTGGATACTCAAAGTCAAGAAAAAAAGCTCCTTGTCATTATATCTAGAATTAAAATATTGCAGGGGCTTTGTCAGATGAGAGGACTGACAACTTTGGGAATTTTAAGAGAAGAGGTTTTGGATGCAAGATTCCACCTTAGCTTTTCTGCTCTTTTAAAATATGCTGATTATTGTATGTTTAGAAGTAAGTGGAATGCTCACTTTCAAAGGTGCATCTTGAAAGGAGCAGGCTTGGTGTGATTAAAATCAACGTGCAACTGCTTTGGATAACTTTTAGCATGATTAGGTTTTTTTTTTTTTTTTAAATCTATACTACAGTCCTTCTCCTTACCTGTAAAAAGCAATCTGGTTGCATTCCTTGAACTGAGTTTTGTCCACAGCCTCATCCTGGACACTAGAAAGAGCAGAGAATAAGAATGTTTAAGTGTGTTCAGCAAATGCCTGTTGAATGGTTAGATGGTGGAAGCCCCGTTCAAGAGCGGTGAGGATTAAGGATAGTACAAACAGCTCTGACATACAAACTGCTGGACTTGGAACTACTGTTTTTGCATACATGAGTAATTCTTACAGATTTAGCTCAATAGTAAACCACTTCCTTTTAAACTGTGATAGTTCGGACAAACAATTGAATATGTGACTAACAGCTGAATTTTAGTGCACGTGAATTCTTGGGGCCTTGCATTTTGACTCAAGTCCTCTCTCTGGAGTCCTTCCAGTTAAATATCCAGTTCCAGTAACATGAATGAAGAAAGGGGCAAGGCTGGCAGAAAATAAGGGAGTCTGCTTCTCTCTCTTCTACCTGCAGCAGGACCAATGAGGGAGGGAGGCTTCTGATGTCCTTACTGACCTTCTGATTGCTCTGTGTTAGCTCCAGACTTAGCAGACCTCTAGATTTGTTAGAAAACAGTAAGTTTTTGGCTTGCCTGAAAAAATGGACTCCTGGTAGTGTCTAACATCGAAACGTTTCTCATAGCACATTGAGTTCAGACACGTGTAGAGGAGAATAAGGTTCTCAGATGGGCAGACAAAGAGCTGTCACTCACAAAGTACTTAATATATACATACAACAGATAAAAATGCAGATGGCAGTCATGACGATGGAGGAGCTGATCACAACTACTTTGAGCTAATATTATTAGACCTGCATTATTGTTGGAGAGCTGACAGCAACCCTAGACATAGGCAATTTAACTCTGCTTATTAAACCCCACTTTGACTGAAGACTCCCTGCAATGCCGTGGCCACATTTGAGGCCTCTCTCCACGGTGAGGTATACGTGAGGGGTTTTGCCCTGGCAGGCAACGGGGTCTTTATTTTTAACTCTCCTCTCTATCTCTTTTTAGAAAGGCCGAGTTAAGCAACAAACCTTGCACTTAACAGCAGGAACTTGCACGATTGGTGACTGAGCGGTTTCTCGGCAACCTGGCGGACCCGGGACGCGCCAGCCCCGCCGGGGCCACGACGCCAGGCCGCCGTGCCGGCTCCCAGCCCCTCCCGCACCGGCCACGCAGCAGCC